CTACCTAAAGTTTCTAAGTTGTTTTAAGACAGTCTCTAGATGCAGCAATTCGAGGTATAACCAAAGGTAACAAAGACTCAGAAAATTGATTGGCGTGCATCAAAAAGGAAAGATGTCTCAAAGGAAAACTGAGTTATAAATGGGCATTATCTTTTTACATGTGAATTCCATAATAATAATGAATAAATCCAGCCTGTTAGTGGTACTGACTAAGCAACTAATTGTACCACTGAACTTCTGCAGAAGCTAAACGCAAAGGAAACCCTCTCCTAAAGCATAGACACCACTCCACAAGATACTGGTCCCAAATGTAAGTAAAGATATTCTAGGATAAAAAATTCCATGATGTCAGACACATATATGGGACTTCAGATCACAGCAATGCAATCATGTCAAATACAATTTACACACAAAATTTCTGAATAGCACCAGGCTTAATCTTTTTCCTTTAATTTCTAAGAAACAGAGACTGAGGTAGAATTTTAATTAGTCTTTTAGACTTATTCCTGTTAAATAATATCCAAGCCAAGTTTGGTATAGAGAAGGATGTTGCTCGGAACTAAAATATTTAGAATTAAAAAATGCTCTTTATTCCAGAAGAATGTGTTCTAACTCAGCAATAGGCTGAACATCAAGCTTACACACTTGGATTTTACTAAAATGAAGTCCTTGATCTACGGTGCAAATACAACATCGGCAGCTGTACTGCAAGGCTTCCACAGTGTTTCATCAAAGATGTTAGCCTTGACCTCAAGTAAGCATTTGCAATTCAGCTGCTATAGTATGGAAGAGCTACACTTTTTTATGAGTATGAACTGCTGACTGTGACAATAAGTGTGAAACTCTGTGAGGTGAATTTTTAAGTGGACTACGGTCAATAATATTTTGTGGATTCATCTTCAGGCTTGGGCTGAATCTGAACAGAATCTAAATACGCTGTTTCTGGACAACAAACATTTTAATCACGGAGCATATTGGAAAATAATTTAAAATCTAGTTAAAACCAAAAAAAGATAAAATCTTCATTTAGCCATTTTGCATGAAGACCATGAAACTCTTTCAAATCTAGGACGAAAAAAGGATCTAGATAGCAGCAGCCTGGTTTCTTAAAGAGACCTGAAATACAGGAAACTTTTGTCAATTTGTAAGAGAAGGAAAACTTTATATGCTCCACTCTTGATAGTTCAGTTGGCTGGCTGCATATAGGAAATGGCAAATGAGAACGAAAGAACAGGTGTAAAAAGGCATAACAGAACCTATCAGGTAAACCATACTGTGCAATCATTACCTTAGTGACAAAAATGTTACTGGGAGGAAATGAAAGGGCTAAGTTTTTTTGTTTGATATTAAATTCTCTGCCTCTGGTGAAACTCCACAAAAAAATATAGTAGTTTATGTTTTTTGCACAGTAACAAAGACACATGCATTTATTTCTTGTGAAATCTGGAGAGCTCAACTCTGTACTCTGAATGACACACACACAAAACAATTTCGACTTGTAACTTATTAATTTACTTGACTGAATTTCTTTTACATAGTAATCAAAAGGAAAGACAATTCCCTTTTGGCATTTTATTCAAAACACTGACTTTTAATTTTCCTTTCACCCATCTGAATTTTTATTCTGTAGACTCCAATGCCACTATTCTAAATATGGAGGTAAAACCAAAACAGATTCCAAAGACTCCTATGCATAGCAAGATGTTTCTAATTCTGAAACATTCACCAATCACTTAAGTACTTACCACCTGATAACCAAGGCAGCAAGGACTTTCATGATCATTCACTCTTATCTTAAACAAACCAAGGCATTCCTCAAATCACTTACCCTGTAGTCTCTGGACACACCTTCGGATGGGACAGACCCGGAGATCTGACTAGAAATGGTTGCAGCTATCAGCTGTTTACACCATTCCACATGGGATCCAGTTGGGCTACAAAAACAGAGTATTTCAAATTATTTAGCATGAATTTGAAATGTATATTCAGAATAGCACAGCAACTGAGCACATCCAGAAAAAACAAGACCATAAATGATCACTAACATCATAAAAATTAGCTTGCTTTGTGGGCAGAATGCAACTATTTTGCTGATCAAATTAGGGAAAACAGTTTTACTAGATTCTACCAGAGAGGTAGAGCTATCAGTAGGATAAAAGTGAGGTTAGGGTCCTATGAACTTATAAAAATGCCGTTTTCCTTATCCAGTGTAACTTTTTTCCTCATTCACTTTTTTTTTTTTAAATTCACCCATGGAATGAATTTGGTCAAGTAATAGGGAACTCTTCACACTTTCCTTATTATTATTTCCTGATTATTCAGTAAATCCTCAAAATTATATTATTCTATGGTAGTATTAAAAAAATTAAACTACAATAGTGTTGTATTCTGTATTAATATTAAATGTAGAAAATACATGGATTTTAAAGGTTAGCTTCTAGTTAGCCGTACTTTTTTCCTATTCATAAAATAATCTCTGAATAATCTTCAGGACGGGCCTTCCCATGCCACAGCAAGGAATTCTGCAGCACAGGGTGTTTATAGGAACCCTAAAGACAAAGCATCTGAACAGCAGAAAACAACACTAAATTCTGGACGATACATTTTGAGAACAGACACCTGAACTAGCACTGCTTACAAATAACAGTATTGAGAGTGAGAAACAATTGCACAGTTTGTTGCCAGCCACTTTGAAGTGCTCTAGGTCTGCTTCAAACGCCAGCATCTGATGAAAAACAGAATGCCAGAGCGAACTGTTCTCTGAGTGCCACAGCAACCTCAGCTGATGTCTTAGATAACTGCCATTTCTTTAAACAGTTTAGATGGGCACTTCTACAGATTTAATGCTTATTCAGAAGTCAAAGACAGAAAGAAAGTAATTTTTAGAATTCATTCGTGAACTAGCTTTGAATTCTGTGAGTATCCTGTGACACAGAAGTGAGTAACTTCATACGCATACCCAGCATCCAACAAATGCACCCCAACTTGGACATTAAGAGGGTAGGATGATGGCAGATGACCAGTTACTACTTAACTAGAGGTCTTTCCTTGCATTAGCTCTGCTAGGATTGGTAGATACAACGTGAAGAGCCTGAAATAAAAGCTCTTTCAGAACTTTTCTGATAATTTTAATAGAGCTCTCCCACAAAATGTTGTTTTGCAACTAAAACACATCTGTGATACTCCTGCTTGAACAATAAAGGTAATTCTCAGGTTAGAGCTGAACTTGAGTCTGTATTCACTTAGAGAAACTTTTAACTTAAGTTTTGCAAAGGAATGCATGAGCTAGACCCTGCAGTAATCATTTTCTGATCTCATTTATTTCTCCTCCTTTCACATCTCTTCATTTCTAGTGCATCTCTCTAAGGTTTGCCTAAGTTTGTTTCCAAATAAGCATTTACTTCTTAATTAAGGATTTATTTTTCCATGGTTTATCTTCACGGAGCATCACTAAATCAACATTAATAGCAGCAGGAAAACGAATGTGAACGCAGGTCCATCTCTTACGATCAGTGCCTCAGGATGTATCCGCGTACCACAGGATGCTATCACCACTTGTCAAGTGGGACACGTACCAGTACACATCTTTCCTTTCTGTCTCATCTGAGGCCATGTACATTAGCATAGCCCGGAACAACCACACTGGCAAATAAATAAATTCTATGACAAACAGACATTATAACTTTTCAGGGTAGAACAAGATTAGGAGAAGAAAGAAGGATGAAAATTAAGACAGGAAGTGCATTAATAAGGAATACAAAGATGTAAATTTTGGTAATAGAAAATGGACATTTGGCTTCCACCTTCACTAGAACGATGTAAAACTCCAGGTTTCTCCTAACAGAAGAGAGAACATGGAGACTGGAACCTGGCGCTGATTTTTAAATACAGGTTTTTTTTTCTTTATTTGTCATCTGGGTGAAATTTCCGTTAGGTTCCACTCCTTGTTTATGGATTTTTAAATTCAGCTCTTTAGTCTGCCTCCAGCTGGAAACTTCTGCAGGCAGGATCGGCTCTGCCAGCGAGTGCTGAACTAGGATGCGGTAACGCCTGGGGCCAGGCTCCTGCTCCCCACCGCGGGTCCATCCCCGCCGAGCCTCTGCCACCGCGACACAAAGCCAGCGCCACCGCTCCGGGACGCGGCACCTCTGCGCAGCCAACACCCGCTGGCACGAAAAATAAAACCGGGAATAAAGACGTAAAATCTGAGAAGTCTCACTTGGGTTTGCGACGATGGGAAACTACGCACTGATCAAAAAAAACCCCAAAACCGGGCCGAATCCTGCAGGCAGACTCAGCCTTCGCAAAAACGGTGACGTTAGTGACGAAAAACACCCAACCGCAAGCAGAAACTTTGACAACAGCCAGTTCCCTCGCCGAGGGGAATCTGCCTGCGCGGTTACACAAAATGAACCCCCAGATTTAGGCTGCAGGAGCTGCCCGGCTCCGCGCCACCGCGGCCGCCTCGGTCAAGAGCTTCCCTGGTTTGTTCGTGGCCGTGACACCTCCAAGAAGGAACCGACGGCAGTTACAGGGGCAGCTGCCACCCCTGCGGCTGCGCAGGGGGTCAGGAGGTGCTGTACAGGGCATGGCACAGTGACAGCCCACATCACCCATTTAAGTGGAGAGGAGAAAAGTTTCCTGTTAATTTTCATCAGCCTGTATGCCTACATTCACAACTTCAGAGTAGTATTTTCCAGAAAGTATTGGATTAAAAACACCCTTATGTTTGCTGAATATTGACGTGTAAAAACAGAATTAAAACAAGTATTTTACCTGTTCACTTGAAAAAAAATCCAAGCCCGCAGAGTTATGTTAGAGCGCTTCAAATACTGAAATTTGACTGAAACAGTAATACAAAGAATGGTGTATATATATGTAATGAAGTAAGTGCAAAAAGATCCATTCCATTATATTACACTTTCCTAAATGCAATAGGTTATCCTGTAGTGTTTACACAGTAAAAACTATTAGATTTCCAAACTTCTCCACGCTGCTCAGAGATGTCACCCATACGTTCAACTCAAATACAGAAAAATTAAATATTCTAATAAAAATAGCTTTTTTTTATAAACCACAAGTAAGTAGAAGGCATATATACCAGAGTATGCATAGCTTTCAAATGTAAAGTGTATCATGAACAACTGAGTATCCTTCTTCGTTTATCTGATGTAATGCATCTTAGTTACCTTAACATGTCAAGATTTTGGGACAATTATGTTATTTTGGAAACACATACGGAAGAACATTGATGGGAGAATGAAATTTAGAGGACAAAAATAAGTCATATAAATGATGGGTATTTAGAACACACATATCGTGTGCTCTGAGCTTCCCTGAAAAAATAGTGCAATTCAGTGTACATACTGAATTAAATCAAGAGGCGGTATACTTTAATTCCTTTGAAAAAATACTGTTCTAAAAATATTCAGATGTCCTCTAAACTCTATTTTATGGAACTATAGCTTTAAATTTAGTTTTCATATGCAAACTATTTACACTTTATAAACTTGCAGAATTTCTAATAAACTATATTATATATACTTACACAAAACTTAATTTATATATATTTCTATTATATCTTGCAGATCAAAACTCCTCACATGTACAATAATTTACAGTGACAGAAGCCTCAAGCATTAAAATATCTCCTTTAAAATAACCATATTAGAGTCCTCTACAGATTCTGAATTGCAGTATTTCCTGGATTGCCTGAAGTATCATTAAACTTCTGAGAAGATGCAAAATTTTAATTAAATATCAAGTAGAAAGGTTTGTACTGTCATAAGAAATGCTCATAACTATTTAAAAAATACCTGAAAAGAACAAATTAAAGGTTTACAAGAAGCCTCTGAAATGAAGGACTGAAACTAGAATTCACCGGACGGTTCAATATAAGCACACGCATTATATGCAGATCTTGTATACTGAAGTCCCTTAAATACTTGAGAATAAATTTGTTGAACAAAAAAGTTAAATTAAACAGTAAGCTATAAATGTAAAATTTTCAACAGTATTTATAACTGAAATTTTTTGTCTACTTTGGTATAAAAGCTCCTTTAAACAGGCACATTTACTTTTAGGAGATAAACACAAGCTTTAATACTATGGCTATTGCTGGATATTTAAGCAATGTCTCTCTGGGTCTGCTTTTAAATATATAAATCTTCTTCAGAACCATTTTATTCTGTATTAATCCAAAGAACCAATATTGCCAACAGTGATAATTTATAATATACTTTAGTGCTGAACAGTTAGCCAAAACAGGATTTCCTCAGAATCTAGTACAACTGTCATTTGTTTAAAAAAAATATAAAATCGGTTTACAATAAAAAATAATTTTTCTTTTGTTTTTATATCTTTTGAGCTATTTGAACTTCTTACTTAGAAGTGTATGAGGGAAAACCCTTCCATATTTTTCTTTATTTCAAAAAAGAAAAATTTGGAATTCTCAGGTAACCATAAAATTTCAACACTTGTCTCTGACATCTTACAATATAATTTATTTTTATCTCATGAACTCCACGAACGTATTCCTAACAGGAATACGCACATACCTAATTTTACACAATGTGAATATTCCTATTGCCATTAATGTGTTTATCCATGACATGTAAGACCAAGCATGAACTTCCTTACAGGAACATGACCTAGGATGTAATAAATTAAAGCATTCTTATGAAAACAATAAATCCATTTAATTTCAATTGTACCAGACTTTCAAAAATAATTCTTAAAGCCCTCCATAACTAGAAGTTGATTACTAATGTTCCCAGTCCACAGGTTCCAAAAGGCACGTAACTGAAGAGTTGGTTTTGTTTATTTTGAAGTCCTCCTCAAATGAAGACAGTCTAAAATAATTTGTGTTAGGACAGTCTAATGTAAGGCATTAAAATATCCCTCTTTATACTACAGATCTATGTTAAGCACCACTTGCTATTACAGTATAGAATGAAGCCAACACTTTCTTCAGAAATGTGTTTGTACTTGGGACATCATTTGTGAGGGAGATGCTGATGAGGCTGATGAATTGGGTATCTTAGAATTATTTGTGATCTGCAGTTCTTCAAGTCTCCTTATATAATCATCACGTAATGCAAGGAGCTCCATGTAACGCTGCTCCACTGGATTTGGCTGCTAGAAAGAGATCTGTATTAGTCTTATCACTTCAGGTGCAACTGCTTCTACAGTTAGGCTGCTGTAGTATTTGTGTTTTCCTGGCATAACTCAGTATTTGTAGTTTCCAACATCTGTAACAAGTTGTAGCTAAACAGAAATACTAATTTCGATAATGCAAAAGCCCTCTGCCTTCCAGATCTTCTCACCCAAAGAAAATCTTTACACAGAACAGTTTTTCCTACCTCAATAAAATCAGCCAGCACTTTCTGGAGCATATGGATTTTATTTTCTTATTATCTAATACTGTGTGGAAGATAGGTGTGAACACCTTGTCCAAAGCTTTTCTCTTTTTCTTGACTTATTAAAAGGTTTCAGATTCCAGAGGTCAGATGTCTCATCATCTTCCCTAAAGAGAGTCTTTAGCCAGACCGACTATTTTAGCCACACTGATCAGAATAAAATGAAATTCACATCTTCATATTAAGTAACTTCGCTTACTGATGAAATTTACTTCCATTTTTAATAGTAAATTTGTAATGTTGTATAAATAAGTGAAATAAATGCAGAACTTTAACGTTTATTTACAGAATTCACTAATAATGTGTTTAAAATCAACTGCCCTAGGTTTCAGGAGATTACTCACAGAAAGAGCATCTTAACTGTTTCCATTTTAAGCTTATCTTCCTTTTTCAAATGGAAAATAGGTATTAAAAATGTTCAAGACAGATATGGAACCTAAAGTTACCTTCAGCTGTATAAAACCTTTCAGGAAGTTGCTGCTGTTTCCACAGTTAGCTGCCTGTAATTACAAGCTATTAGCAGTAGTTTCAGGAGCAAATGCAAACTCCTTGCCAGTTCAAAACCAGCTGAACCAGCACTATTAGGTGCACCACTCCCTATGCACCCTAGATGAGGACGGTGATGAATGCTTGAAGCAACTGTGGAATTGGATCAATGACCGAATGTAGTTACTAAGATGATCGGAGATGTAGAGTTAATGATTTTGCTAGTAACAGACCAGACTGTTCATCAGACTGAAGTCTGATGCAGAACATGCTTCTAAGTAATGGTGCTAAGAAAGGTCACTGAAAAACTGGTTCAGGCCACATGTCCATTATTCAGTTGCTTAAGTCAAGATGAAGTATGGATTTCATGTGCAGAAGAAAAAAAAAAAAAAAGTTGCATTTTGCATATAAAAATGGTGAAAACGAGGGACCAGTAGTAGCAGCATAGAAAATTATCACATGGGTTTGCATTTCTAATAAGAAATCCTGCCAAAAACCTTTCCTGAATAATGGCAAAGCACATTTTTAAGTAGATTTACAGCTAATTTGCATGCCCTATAATCCTTCACTTTCTAAAATAAATCTTTGGATTCACCTTTTGCAAAATGCCCTCATCTTTCACAGAAGCAACAAGCACTTTAAAACTAGAACCTCAAATTAAAACTGGCAACACACTTGTAAGAAAATACAGCAAACTGTCTGTCTTTCTTGCAGCCTCTAAAGTGTTGTAAATAATACAGGGTAAATAAAGTAAATACAGCTGCAGAAAAGGAAGTGCATTGCTTGAAAACTACTGATTCATTCTAGGGGATGGATTGTGAAGACTGCTGCTGTCAAAGATTGCTCCTTTATCTTTTCCTACTCCAAACTCCACAACTTATTAGGAAGGACAAATATGTCTCTGTACACCATCTTTACATGGCACATTGCTGAGATTTCTAGCAAGACCGCAAAACAAGCACTGAGCATCCGTGTATGAAACATTAAAAGCACAGAACTGAACTATGTGTAATGTGATAAAAGCTTTCCTGGGCTTCCAATCTGATCCACATGTATAATTTTCAATAACAGCTTTCATCCAACAGTTACAGTGCAAACAATGTTGGATCATCCAAGTTACATTAAAAATATATATATATAAATCTCACTATAAGCCATCAATACAGATAGCAGTTTTGAAATATAAAGGACCGAATTGGTCATCTTAATTTGTAAAAGACTTCATACACTCTCTTGGAAAAAGAAGACAGACTAAGCAAACGCAATTAAGCGTGTTTGTGGTGCTAATGCCCTAACTCTCCAGGGATCAGTAAGCCCTATTTCTAAGCAGTGTTATTCACCCTTTAGTAGCATCAAATGCCCTTAAAAAATGCTCCCCCAGCCCTGTCCCCAAGAGAAGGGGTTAGAAAGAGCTTGAGGATGACTTGATACTAAGCACTGAAATAAACTCAGTGCTCTAGGAAGAGCTGAGTCAAAAAAAAAAACAACAAAAAAAAGAGAGAACTGAATAATAATTTTCACCTTTTTTCTCCATCTTTACAAATATTAAAAACTTGAACAGATCACAGATACTGTTCTACAAGCCAGTTGTGACACAAAATCCTATTTCTTAAGTCTAAAGGCACTTTGTACATTATAGAGAATTTACTTACTTGTTGCCGAATTCTTGGGTTCCACCTGATGTAGTAATTAACCCAGAGCTCTAAGTGACGCATACTGGCTACTGGATAGAGTGCTCGGTTTAGCTCTTTAGTGTAAAAAGGATTGGTGTATTTAGATTTTTCACTATTTATCAAAGACCATAACGATAATGTTTTCTCAGTCACTTTCTAAAATGAAATTGAAATAAGAACAGTAAATATCTGCAAAAAATCAGGAAATGCATCATAGAAGCCATGATTACATTCTAAACCTAATACACCTCTGATTTACATAGAAGAATAGTAAGTTACTGTATTAGAAATGTTCCAAAACTAGTGCTTGACAAGTATTTTAGCAACTGCATAGTCTCTAAGCTACTAAACCCAAGGAATTTACCATGCAACTGCTCTACAACAAGAACAAAGACAGTTCAAAACCACTGTCATGCAAGGACATAATAAATAAACCAAATAAAATACAACCAAAACTTTTTGTAATCATCTAGAGTCAACACAGCAATACAATTAAATAATCAGTGGTTTGACTAACCTCTTTTTCTCTAAGGGACTCACTGTTATACAAGAAAGTACCAAAGCGGCAGCTGTACAAGTGATCCAGGATTGTAATCAAGAACTGCTCGTTGAATTCAAAGGCTGTAGGAAACTAAAAACAGAAAAGAAAAATTCGTTCTTTACATCATCAAAGAAAAGAGATGCACATGCCCTGGTTAAGAGGCTGAAGATGGCGTTTAGAAACCTGAATACATCTACAAATAATTTTTAAGATAAAACTTTCATATACTTTATAGCAGAGTAAGTGTTCAGATGACATGAGGTGTTTAACTTTATCTCGTCACTGAAAAGAACTCTTCTCAAAATGTTCTAATTACCTTTAATTTCTAAGAAGAGGAATAAGATATAGAATGGTTACAGTTACATTTTTACTAGGAAGACAGAGTAAGGTATCCACAGTGTACTCTTTATAGTCCAGCACAAGAAAATAAGGGTTTAGCTCCTAATCCTTGGCCCTAAACAGACTAAGTTTGCTGCTTTGTTTCATTACTTATTGAAAATACAACATTTAAATCACAGCACTCAACAGCTCCCAAGCTTCCTTTTCAAGCTTTGACAAAACATTTGTCCCTGTAGTTCAAGGGACAGCTTCACAAAAATAGGTAAAATGAAACAACTGACCCTATTAAAGAGAGTTGGATGCAATTCCTGTAAAAGCATTCTGCCGGATTACATCTCAATATCTTTCTGAGAAGCCCATATCCAAGACAGACCAGCCTTGCATGCATAGCCAACGCCATGTTAAGCAACATAACTACAACTGCTATAGCGCTTTTAGAAATTGGGTAGAGATGGTACAGTTTAAAAGTCTCCTTTTTGACTACAGTATAGAGGGGTATATACCGTCCTCTTCAAATACTTTTTTGCTTAAATAAAGATCTAGGTTTTTAATTCAGTCATCTCTTAGCAGTGTTACCTTCTGAAGAATGATATAGCATATACCTGTTTGGACATCTGCCACACACAATCAATAAACTGGAGAAAGATGGGCGATCGGTCTGCATCAGCATGATTTTTATCACCATGGCCTATTCTCTGTAATGAAGCAATACAGCCTCCTGTTAACCAAAACAGTCTATTTATGGCCAATAGGCATTATTTCTTATTTTGCACTAGAATATTAATGCTTCTGTAATAATTATTAGTTTTAGTTATTGAACCAAGGATGTGAGATTCAGATATAAAGAAATACTGTAAAGTTGTTCCAAAGGTGTCTGAGAAAAATTCCAAAGTGATAATTGGTCCTGTTACAAAAACCTGCTAGTTGTTGAACAATCTGAACTGTTAAAGCATATATTACTTTGCAAACAATCAATACAAATATTACTTTGCAAATAATCAATTTTGAACTATATCTAAGTTATACGTTTGTTAAAAGCCAAATGATATACTTTGTCTTCTTTCATAATTTAAATCACTGGAGAACCTAGATCAAACTATCCACAGAGATTCTCCTCTTCTCCTTCCACACTTGAACCTAAAGATTCACCCTGGGGTAGACAGTGAACATGAGCGAGCTCAAAGAAACGTTCATGTTCTTGACGGAAAATTAACACACATTTTTAAAGTTTGGGTGAGCCATTTATTCCGAGAAGTCCAACGTAACAATCAAAGGAATTCTCCCCATAGACAAAAAGTAGGTTTGGTAAAAGTTGTTTCATTCCTTTTCATATTTGATAGCTGAGAACAGATAAGAGATTCAGGGAAAAGAGATTCTATTAACTCCATAATTCTGCTGGAATACACTTGCCTGGAGGAGACAAAAGAAGAGCGTGTATGTTGAACTAAAATGTTGTCTATCTGCCTATAAGATAGCAGGCTTAATGTCTTAAGAAAGTGAAAAATCATAAAACCAGTACACTCCTCTGTACAATGATTTGCAAGATAGTTTAAAATAATAGAATTGAAGATGAGGCATTGTAGCTGAACTCAGTCAACAATAGCAAATGACTAGAAAAGCACTATAGGGAAGACAAACAAATCAGCCTCCTTGCCCTTCAGTTTTCATAGCTTAAAATATGTGGTATCTGTTAACAGCCATACATGTGTTCAGTAAGGAGTGAAAGTCCTTCCACTTTCACTATGGTTAGCAGTTTTAGGATGTCTGAGCATTTTCCATCTATAATTATGTCTGTGTCTCATTTTTTATATTAGAATGCATTATTGGAACATCATTCCACAGAGCAAGCAATTTTATCATCCAGATAGTGTACTAAGTTCACTATACACAGAAAAGCTGGGGTAGGGAATTCCTTTTCAACAAGGAAACTTACTGTGAGCTTCATTAGAAAATACAGAGAGGAACTATTAAGTAGTCTACTATTTAGTTATTTCTTATTAAAACATCCAAACTGCAGCCCTGTAACATGAAAACATGAAGCTTGTTCTAACCCAGCCAGTGTTAAGAAACACTCTACTCTTCTCCAACTCCCTACCTGAGGGAAGGTGTAACAATAGTTGCAGAGATGAGGTTCAGGAAATGCTAACTGCACTGAAGTGCCTAGTCTTCAATATTAAAACTCATGGTTCTATCAAGTAATGACACCAAACTGAAACAGAGCATATATGATCAAAATATTTTCTGCTTGCATTATCAGCTTTTACCACAGAAACATTTAGGTTGGGAAAGACCTTTAAGTCCTTCTTTTTAACTATCAAGTCCAACCATTAACCTAACATGGCCAAGTCCACCACTAAACCATGTCCCTAAGCACCGCATCTACATGTCTTTTACATGTCTTTTACAGTCTTTTACATACCTCTAGGGACAGGGACTCAACCCCTTCTACAGAACACTCTGGAGGAGGACTACCTCCCTTCACTATAAACTGAACAACCCATCAAATCACCATATACAGTACTCTCAGAAAACAGCAGTTGGCTAAAGGAGCCAACCATTTCCAAAGATTGCTACTTTAGCAAGCAAGAAGGGAAACCAAAATAGTAATTTAAGCAAAAGCAAGCTATTTAAATCACCCTTGTTGCTGCTACATTGTCAGAGATGAACCAGGGGACCGAGCTAGTCATCTGGAAGGGATCTAAAAGTCCTACCTTGCTAAGAGGAGAAAAGTGTTGTCTGTCGAGAGAGAACAAACTCCTCTGACTACCCAAATTAAAATTGATGGCTTAATAAAAAGAATCATAGATCAGTTGAATTTATTCATAATGGTGAAGGACACACAGAACACTTTTAAAGCTTTGTGTTAAACCATAACATATGCACTAGGCTACAAGTTTCCTAACTATATCTGCATCATGACTATAACGTTTTTTAAAAATACAAAGTAAAATATGAGAATAAAAAGGCAAGCCAGTGTTTTCCTGTGGCAGTACCAAGACAGAATACTTCAAAGCTTTATAACATGTCACTACTAGAAGACTACAGGTAAGTATACAAAAAGATGGACTACAGCAGATATCACTCCCAACAACCAAAATGCAAATCTAAGCCTCAAAGCACCTTTAGAATGTCCGATCAAAGACAAGCACACTTAAATAGTGAAGTGATCCATGCTGAGTAGCTATACATGAATTTCCAAATGACTGAGACACTTCTGCAAATGTAAAGTGGGCATGAAATACACACACAGGTATACTTCTTGATTTTTTCCAGATTGCCATTTTCCCAATTTTAGCAATATTAAGTAGTAGTTTTAGAATGTTCCACTGGGGACAAATTGTCTGTGCAAGTAACTTCTACTGAAGGTGCGGAAACTTCTTACTGTGAATTACAAGGTTCAGCATCAACACATAACGCTGTTGTAAAGCTTCCAAATTATGTTTTATGTTTATATATCCCAGCACACTCTCCCTGGCAACCTATTCTGCTTTGCCAGGTTCCTCACAGATTTTCTGGTTAAGTGGTTAGCTGCCAAATTTAAGAGAAGTTCCACTAAGACTCTGAAAAGTTTCCCAATACAAACACCCTTGACTTTGCATTATATACAGGTAGGATATTAAGGACTTGCTATAGACAATTTCTGCTTAACCTTCTAAGCATCCAGAAGACAACTGAACAGAACTAGAGCCTGCATTACCAGTGACAGCCTCTGGAGAGCTATTATGACAAGTCTGGGAAGAAGCTTTCAAAACATCACTTAAAAGACATTGGCCAGACTCATTCATCTGCATCTCATGATATTCAAAACAGTCCAAAGTGAGGGTGAGGAAAAAGGCTCATGTTCCAGTCTTGTTTGATCTTCTGAAAAGTTTGTTTAAACATAATTTTTCTACCTTCTTATTTTCTTTGCTCAATAACCACAGTAACCCCAGCAATTCTGTGTTTTTAAAAGGGTGTAAAGGACAAAGTATCAGTTCTTAGAGAAAGCAAAAAAATATTAACTAAGCAAGTCCAAAACCAAAACCTGTGCTCAGATTTACCTGGAAATGTTTTAAATCAAAATTCCAAAATAATGAATTGTCAAATCTTGACACAATGAGTAGTTCAACATTAAAAGCTTTTTAGAATGTTAATGTTGCCTAGTCCTTGCAATTATCTCCTCTTACCGATGCAAATTTGTGTCCAAAGCTTATCCACTCTTTTTGCACCAGAACTTCAAAGCCTTCAATTGTTCTGTAGTAGCTGTCTAGCATCAACATGGCCAGCGATGTCAGCTGTGCTGTCCGGTCCCAGCCATCGCTGCAGTGAACCACCACGGAGCTCCTTCCTGAGGACACCTTGTCTGCCACTTGAATAGCTCCTGTCAGGACCAGCTAACAAAGAGGAACAGACACCAACCAACAGAGATTAGTGTTATCATTCCAAAAATAAATTGATTTCTTTGTATCTACACAGTATCTAAATTGATATTGTTTCCATTACAGAGAATGGAGTAGTTAACTGGAAAAGAATTTTCTAGGAGATAAATTAAATTTCTTGTATAGAAAGAGAAACAGATTGGTTCCCTAATCCCTTAGTAAGACCTAATTCATCTCACAGTAAATTCTTAAAAAATGGGGCAGAAAACAGTAACCTTGATAAACCAAAGAACATAAGCTTCTTTTTTAAAGAAAGGATTTACCATAGCATATACTCTCTAAAAGTTCTGTGTTTCATTTGGTTTCTTTCTTTGAACTTCTTACTTAATAATTACTGAAATATCTCAGTTGTTGGAAAAAGGAACTTGTACCCTTCTAATGTGCTTATTTTCTACATATTAAAATGGAAATTTTATTAAGTAAGATTCATTACACCTTATTCTAAATACTTTTGCACAGCTGTACTTTGAGGCAAAAAGTTCAAAGGTCAACTAGTAAGAACACTGGTGAATTACCAGTTTAAGTGTTTTATTTGTGCTACAAGATGAAAATGACAGAATTTACAAATAAATTTACAAGATATATTTTTAAAACTATAATTCAAAAAATAGTCACATATATACTGACAACTAAAGTAACTATTAATCCTTCAGTGACCGTTATCTGAAGTCCTGTACTGCTAGAAAATAAATCAGTTCTCACACATGTAAAGACAATCAGACTAATAATGCTCTCCTCTTTAAAAGACTGACATTTGACTTGAGGCAGACAATAAATGTTGAGTTTCACCTACTGTTGCTTAGTAATGATACCTCACAACATACTCTAAGACTAGTTGGCAAAAAGTCAACACTCAGTGCTGCTGTTTCTGTATTCCAAGTAGTTCCATGTGTTCCGTATCAGGACTATCTCAAAGTCTAGCAAAGAAACCAAGTCTGATACAACAGATTTGGACAAACATTATTTCAAACAAACAGCAGGAAGTTACCTTTATATGTTCTAACCAATGAGTTGATTCCAGACTTGACAACCAGTGTGATTCTTCCACATTAGGATAAACAATGTCCTTCAACTTCTTCAAAGATTCCCGCATGACATGAATATTATGAATGTCCAAGAAGAAAAGTTCTGCATTGGGATATGCATCTTCACCTTCATATCCTCCCCCAGTTGCCTACAAACAAGAGACCTAAAATTAACTTCAGTCATATATACGCTGTTGTAGCAGGTTTTCAACAGAGCAAGAAGTGACTGAATTTTGTTTATACTTTATGTTGTAGTTGGGCAGTATATTCAGTTGCTTCTTTAGAACTTCAGTCTCAGATACAAGCTTTGGAGGGGCAAATACTGGAGATTAATACGTGGGGGCTTTCCTTTGTCCAGAAAGACAAAATGTATTAAGTATGTCACATGGCCAGAAAGACATTCAAGTTACTCCAGTGAGCCCAGTTGCTTTCAAAACCTCAAGGGAGTAACCCTAGAAGGGAAAACTAATTATTTTAGATTAACACTAAAAAATTGTTTGTACTGTTGGGCCTGGAGACCTTCAAATAGGATTGAACTAGCCAGATGAGGGACAATGGGCCAGCATCACATCAGTCAGGACTCAGACTGCTTTAAGAATAAAAAAAACCTTTGTACCTTCCTCATTACTTCCGAGATTCATGGTGGAAACAGCTTTTCCTTGGCCAACTGACATTACAAATTCAGTATTTTTTTCTTCATTTATGTTCACTTTCCCACCAAGGATTAAACAAACTCAAGATTCTGAATACAGAAGGAATCAACTTACTTCTCAGGCAGATTATTAAGGTTAAAATAAAATGTAAAGTACAGCACACAAAACAGCAATTACTTGTAACATAGTAGATCACCACTTCTTGGAAATAAAATTGCTTATTTCTTTGTTTCTGTATCAATTAGAAAAATTCAGTCAAAAGGATCTGTCTTCTTTACACCACTAATTCAAGAGAGCAAGTCTCATGTTTACCAGTGCAAACTTGCTACCAAAGAAAAGATCGTTCCTGTGTTTGAAATTGCCTAGTTATTTACTACTAAAATTGAACTGATATTGAAATAGATAAAAATCATAAAATGTTTGGTCAAGTAAATTTAAGAGCTCAGTTCAGAATAAACTAAGTTTCATTTAAGAATTAAGTTAAAGAATCTTAGATTTTGCCTCTAACTAGTAAATCAGGAAAAACGTTAAACTTTTTTAACATCAAATTTTATTGCTGAAGACTAAACATGTATTTAGATCATTAAGAAATTAAAGAGTCACATAAGTAGAAAGTCTGTTCTCCTTGTGGTGTTACTTAATCGTTACCACAGCAGAGGATGTGCCTGGTCACAAAAGGAAGTGGGAAAACCACACATATTTTTGGACGCAGTGTCAGTGATGAGATTTTCCAAAGGTAACTGCAAAATAGCAGCAGTTCCTACAGACAGCAAAAACATGCCATGCCATGAATTGTGATAAATAAATTTTGCCTTTATAAGCCATTACAGCCACCAACTACACATCAGACAACAATCTAAATTACGATATAGTTCCCATAAGAACCACCTACGTTTCTGTATAGTAGCACAGTATCTCTATTCTATGTTCTCTATCTCCTTCCTCAGATGTGGGGGTATTCAGAGCTGTCAGGCTCTGGGCTAAAAGTAGCAATAATTGTATTTTTTCTCTTTCCTTTGAGTATTATGAAGTCCTGGTGAGGAATGATTGTAATTTTAACATCAGGGTTGCTGTAACTCCTACTGACTGTGTGGTCTTGACCTATGTAAAAAGAACACAGGAATGCACAAATATCATAGCCTGGGATTTTGCTTACACTTATCTTCACAGCTGTTCAAGAAAACTTTGTTCAGTGCTGATCCACACTGTACAATCCAGAAATGAACCCTACTGCTTTTACTGCTATGATTTGAATATTTTGTATTTAGATATATCAGGACTTAATTAAAACATGGGTAAACACATAGACCATTTAAAAAAGCTGAAAACTCTGCTTCATACTTCAGCAAGTATGTGTGTATGAAGTGTGGATGTAATACATCTTTGAAACACATGGGATAAAAATTTGAGTTTGTCTAAGAACTGGGAAGAAAAATTAAGTTAATGTAAGAACTGACATTCCTCCCACAATGCAAACAAAAGGATTACATGTTTTGTTCACCCATAAAAATTCAGTCTGCAGAGGATAATGCAATTCATAGAGTAAAATGCAAGCAATTGAGGCAGACCCTCAAAATACAAACCATCAGATTAAAACCTAGCCAAACAGCCCCCAGGATAGAGTCTCTGAAAGAATGTGTGCTACACAAAACAAAACAAAAAAGTAGCCCTATTTCTTGCTTAATAAATTATATTCTCTATTATAGAGAAGAGGGCTATAAAGGTACAGATGCATGCGTTTAAGTTGCACAGAGCAAAACACTAACATTATTGTCCCTCTTGAATTCTGAAGCAAGTTCACATTTGTTACATATAAACTTTCTAGAGGCAAACAAGTTTCATCATTTCAAATTACTTTCAGCACAAACACTGAAGACTTCCACTAAATTAGCATTCATTCCACTAAATTAGTGTTCATTTTGTGCAAAAAAACTACTCAGAAGCTAGACTTTCTTCTCTCCCAGATAAACACATTGTTTCACTGAGATCTCAAACCCCCTTGAGCTGGTATCTCTCATGCTCTTTGCTGTGCAGACACACAACTTCACTAGTAAGTACTGAAAATCATGTCCGTTTGTGCTTGAAGTTCAGCAGGTAAAGGACTATCCTAGACATGGAGGGAGTGAAGTTGGTATGTTCTCCTATGAACAAAGCATTAAAATTGTGTCCTTCACCACCTGCCCCTAAGCAGGCTTTTCACAGAAACAGGGAGCACATCCATGTCTGCTGTGCTCTGTGCCAAACACAACACTGACACTGTGACTGGTATTACTCAAGTATGCCTGAACAATCTGGTCCTCACCAGAGTTGGGGGTGGGGGGGCTGAGAGGCACAGGGACACCTTTTCTTCTTGAAAGGTTAAACCAGATGATCTTTCTGGGTCCCTTCCAACCTGGGCTGTTCTATGATTCTGATCCCATTTAGGCTTTGAGCACAAATTCGCAAAGAAATGGTCACTTTGTCAGATGGAAACACTACTTCTGTTACTGCACTTACTGACTACAGGCACCTAGGGAAGAACAGGTATCTAGGTATGCAAGATCATACCCATGCTGCTGTACAGAGTGTGAGCCCCAAGTTAACTTATTCATCATGTTCTCTTTATTTGCTGGATGCCTCAATAGGTCTGAAATGGTTCATGTAACGGTCAGAAAGAACCAGACAAAAGTTCAAGCCCTATCAGTGGGCTTGGCTTTATGCACATGGCCTTTCCAGGATAGACTTTCCCAGAGAATATGAAGCAGAGCTGTGGCTTGCACAGAGGTGGCATGTCATTCCAACAGAGGACATGCTCTGCAGCTCAGCCTACACCTACCTCACAATGCAGAGCATAGTCATAGCTGATTGCAGTCCCACACTAAGATCTGTGCTTGACTGATAGCAGACAGGGTAAAGCGTGTCTGGAAATCCATGTATGGTCCTGAAACCCTGCTTACTACCCGGGTTAGGCATTCATGTCCTTGAGCCTCAATATTTATTATGTAAATATATAATTAATATGTAAATTTATCTACATTAAGGTTACTACTGTTCCCAAAAACCTCCTCTCAGAAAACTTCAGACTAATTCTCCTCCCCACCCCCCTTCACAAATAAGACTATAAAGCATCTGTTTACCTTGTTTGCAACTGCATTGACATTGGGTCTAGCGTCATAGATGGTCAGTTTTGAGATTTGCCCATTAGCCTCCCTGATGATATCAAGATATCTTTCATCATCTTTATTCCGCTTGCCACTCATTCCAACAAGGGGTTGACTGCAGCGCATAATAACAGCTTGAGTCTCTGGATGAATCCATGACAGAACCTAGTCACATGTCCAAAACACATTAGAAGAAATACGTTTTATTTTAAAAATCATAACTTAAATTTTAAAGTTGCATTCTTTAATATGAAAACTAACATTTTTAATTTTATTTCTTCACATCTCAACTACTTCCACTTTAGTCTCATAAAATTTAATAATAACTATCTTTTAAAGAGCTCATTCTCTTACATATTTAACTCTTATTGAAATTATACTTAACTATATAATCCTCTACATTTTAATATTTTCCTACAACTCTTAGGTTGCACAAATAATTCTGAAAAGCAAACTGGAAATAAACATAGAAATGCCTGCTGAAACTAAGAAACAATTCGGAAGAATGAACTCCTTGTAGAAATGGTGACTAAGATGCTCCAGTTCTACAAGAACTTTTCCCTTTTTTTTGATAAGGAAGGAAAGGTCAACCTTTCTACAGTATCTTGAATGTTTCCCCTTCTCTTTAAAGTACATTTTGTTCCTCAGTCCTCTTTACAAAGGAAGGCATTGCGGCAAAGTGCATGCTGGCTCTCTTGTTCTGAGCCAGCAGGGACTTCCACAAACAAGAGATAGTGAGCTGCCCAGGGAACAGACTGCAGTGCAAGAGATTAAAGATAAGCAGCCCAAGAAGCAGGCAAAAACTCCAGCTTCATCGTTGAAGAATATTAAGAAGCAGTATTCTTACCCAGTCTGAAAGTTGTGGGTTACAAAGACAACCAGAGTTTAAAAAAAAAATCCTCAGAAAGTATTCACTCTTGAAATACAACCTTTAGTTGTATATCTAGAAACGAGACCTGTAGTGTGTGTGGGGGTCAGTATGATTGGTTATTTCCTGACAAGAACAGAATTACTATTACCACGGAAATTACTTTCACTGTACAGGCATATAAAAGCCCTGTCATGAATTCTGAGATGACAGAGAAGATACAGCTGGGTTATAAACTATCTGCACACACTGTATGTTTCAGATATTTTGTACACATTATATGTTATATATATACATACATGTACATGCAGAGAGAGTAAATTTATAATTATAGGCCTAGCCTGTCAGTAAATACCATATCTAATAAATATTTATCATACTGAGTTTCACATCTGTTGGAAATTAACGGAGATTCAAGGCAGCTTTCTGATACTGGCTAAGAGTCTAGCACTTCTTCTGAGTTTGCCAAATTGAAATATTAGTTAGAACAGATCATATTGTGATAGAAATTAGTATTTTCTATAGTGCTGTAAAGAGTTGATACATAAAAATTCTCCTACCTCAAAGAATTTTAGTTAGAGAAATATACCCAAAAAGTCAAATGGGTTTATCTTCAATTCCACAGCCCAATTAAAAAAACTAAAAAGACCAATAATTGACTGCAGAGACTATGCATGAGGTCTTATTTTAGGACTGACCATTGGAACTATGTTTAAATGCTATGTAGTTTGCTTACGGGAGGATAACATTTGATATCACATTTTATGTGCATCCAACAATAGTCAACAAATTAGTACAGATGGCAGTCTAAGGCTCATACTTCATTAAGAAAAGGGAATCTGCAATACTGGCAGTTGTTACTAGAAAAGTCAAGCTAAAACCAACAAAGCTGGAATGGGTGATTGTTGTGAGGGAAAAATGGAAATGTGCCTTGGCGAAGACACGAGTTTCAAGCAGTAAAAACCGCCAGCCAATCAAAACTATTTTGCTGTAACCATTTCCGAAAAAAGCATCCTTTGTGTCATGCTCATCAAAAAGTTGTTTAGATGCATATTTAAAACTTATAGCTACACTATAAGGTAACTTTCATCACATAATACTCACCGGAATTCTATTTCGGGACCTAAAGGCAGCAACTTTCTTGAGATCATCATCTGTTGCATTATATGGCACTACTAAGAGTGATGGATATGTGTCACACAGTCCGTAATGTTCATTAATAAAAGTTACTCGCCACCGTTCATTAGGCAGTCCCTAAAATGCAACACAAAGTTTTTCAATCTATTTTTGGCTGTACGAATAATAATTCTGCTCTTGAATTTTACCTGACATTATGGCCACATGGTGGCAACAATCTACCAATTTAACCTAACTACAGCACTGTTTCAAAACAATAGAAGATTACAAGACCACACAAACCAGCTCATTGCTGATGGATTCACAGCCATCTCATACACTCTTACATACACAATTCTATTCTTACATCAAGTTCCAAAACAATGAATAAAACTAGTAGATGTATTTCTTTAACTGTGGGAATGAGGAAAGAAAATTGCCTTCTCTCCTCTCTCAAAGCTCTGCCTTTTCATTTTGCCTGCTGAAAAGACAGGGGGAAGAAGTCTCATCTCAGCCTTTCTTCCCTGCAGCCTGATACTACCTTCAGGTTAAAAATAAAATTCAGGGTAGCTTTCTTATTGAGAAACAACTTTTAATCGCAGTCTGATCAGTAAGACATTTCACAAACAGCAGCCAGGAAATTGAGAAAGACTGATAAGCCCACCACACAGGCACATGAACAGTGGGGTTTATGTGGGTGTTTGTATTTTACCTTTTTTGGGTCTTAGGCCTCTAAACCTTGAACTGAAAAACTATAGAGGGGAAAAAAAGCATCTAAGGAAGTCCTTACTGTTTGCTATTTAATTTTTTTTTTTTTTAAATCCTATTTAAAGCAAAAATAAATTGTCTAAAAGACTTTTAAAATTAAATAATGTCATTCTCTTTCACTGACATTTTTTCAAAATCACCTAAAGACCAAGGTAGAATACTGAGAAAGATATAAGCAACTTCTGTAAAGCAATGCTTTCTAAAATAAGCTGCCTTATCCCCCCCCCCCCCCTACCTTTTAGCTTTCTTGTCCTTTCAACCAAATCCAAGTGGGCTGCATTACCTAACTAACCCCTTTTGCCTTGGTTTGTTTTTACACTTTATGATGAAAGCAAAAGTAATGTTTATTTTAAGGATCTCCTTCATTGAGAAAATTTGATTTGGTGGCTTGCAAATTCTTCAGATGCCAACTGGAGCATTAAACGAAATTGGTTTTTTTTAAA